CAAACCATTTATTTAGTCCATGGGAGTAGATTGTTCTAGTTCTGCATGCCATGCCTTTTCTGGATATCTTAATTTCAGTTAATTCCCTTTAATAACTCATCTCTCCAAGTTTTTGTTCACATCTGCTGTGGCCAGGTATTGAACACACAACTCTTTGGTTCAAGTCACTGGATTACTTCAACCAATGCTTTTATCCACTGGGCCATGTGTCCAATATGACAATAATGAGGAGGACAACAATCCAGACAATATAAATAGTGTAAATAGTTACTTCATATCAGAAATATAGACAGATGCTTAAAAGATGTTCACTTACAAAAAACTTGGTACAATGTAAGTTTTTGTTTAAATAAATCCAAAATATAATACTTAATTAACAAATCTTTAACTATTATTATTAGGTTGTTACATAAATTTATTTGATTTTTAGTTTTTATTTTAATACTTATTCTTTGTTAATAGTTCTGATGAATCTTTCAATCATATATTCCCCTTCATTGTTTACAACCTCCTGCCAACGATCCACTGCCTCAGTGATAGAAATCACTAGGTTTTGACTTGAAAAATTCATCAAGCCACATTTTAAGCCCTTCATCATTGTTGAAGAAGACACTCTTCAAATTGTTATAATCACACAATTGCAGGTCAGGTCTTCTCAGTTGAATTGCCACTTTGAGATTTTGTTCATTTGTTTAACATACTGCTTTGACATTAACCATTTGATTGTTTTCATATTCTATTGGTAATGAAGACATCTCCATACACAGCACAAATATCACAGCCTGATTAAAAGTAAAGAGATTATATCTAACAAGCTCATTCTTGTCTACTTAGCATTCCATTTCAAAGAGTTGTCTAATCTGAATTAAAATTCCAATAACATTAGGCGAGAGTTCTGCAAGATGACCAGAATTACTCAGAATCAAAAAATACTACAAAAGATTAATCAGGACAACCTTCAAAAGGTGGATGACACTTCGCAGATATCTCTCCAGAGTAAGACCCCCCCCAGAGGAGAACATGACAAAAGACTGTGTGTACACTATCCTGTGCAGCTGCGGAAAGAAATATAAAGGGGAGACAGGCCGCCCTCTTAAGGTAAGGCTTCAAGAACACCAGAAATCTGTAACTCGAAGGAAGTGGAAAAATCAGGTATGGCTGACCACATATGGAGAGAAAAGGGAGATCACTGCCCTCTGTGGGATCAGGTTGAGATCATAGATAAAGAATACCATTGGAAAATTTGTAAACTTAAGGAATCAGCACATATGCTAGGCCACAAAAATCTCCTGAGCTGACCAAGCATAGAAATGAATACAATATGGGAACCAGTAATAAGGAGTGCCAGAGAAAAGCGATAATAACAACAAAAATTGCAATATGAGCTCTGGTAAAAAACATGCAATGATAACAGCAAAAATTGCAATATGAACACTGGTAAAAAATGGTTACTGAAGACATTAGGTTTATAATACCCAGAAATTTATACACAGATGTCCTCAAGAACACGTGGCACAGTGGATAAAGGCATTAGTTAGATCCAGTGACAGGACCCAAATACCCGGTTAAGGCAGTGGAGAACTTGGAGAGGGGAATTAACAGGAGATAACTGATAACTGACATCCATTAAACACGGCATGTGGAACTAGAACAGTCTACTCCAGTGAATGAAATAAAGGGTTCAGTTCGACATTCCAACCACCTGAAGAAGGCCAGCACATACAACGGCCGAAATGTTGTAATAAATATGGCAACAAAGATGAGCACAATAGTCCGAATAATGTAAATAGTGAAGATTAAGCTTTGAGATCATTTGCAGAAAATCTGAAAGAAATCAAACACATATATGTAACAACTTAATAATTTTTTCTTTTATTTTTTGCAACATGAAAGCTAACATGTTATTAAATAAACTATACATTTTTTTCAAGGTTTCTACATATGAGTTTGTATATCTCAGTATTATTCTTAGTAGGTGAGAGAAATAGAATCAGTCATTAAAAACTTTAGCACCTAAGCCAGTTACTGCACATATTTAATGAACCCCTTTACTCATGAGGGCATATTTTGATTGATTTTCCCATCTTGCACATTTACAAATCTACCATTTGTCTATAGATTGAATACTGCTGCCATATCCGATCTGGTGCTCCTACTGTTCATCTCGAGGTTCTTGATAAAATCCAAAGAAGGATCTCTAATGTAATCAATCCTGACTTTGCATCTCGATTTCAGTCACCTTCTCGCCAATGTGGTGTAGCTTCTCTCTTTCTTTTCTACAAATATTTTTATAGCAACTGCTCTGATAAGCTTTTTTTCCTGGTGCCCTGACTACATGAATTTAAGTGTACTACTAGACTGGCATCTAGGTTACACCCTTTTACTGTTGAAATAGCTAAATACAAGTGCCACTTCTACTGCAACATTGTTTTTTTTTCTCTCACTTCCTACCTGTGGAACTCCCATTTTCTTGATTCCCTATATATATATATATATATATATATATATATATATATATATATATTTATTTAAAAAAAAAAATCAAAAGAAATTTCTTAAATCAAACCCTATTATTTAAAATAAATACATAAATTAATTTTTCACACTAAAATAATAATTACATTAAAAATAAATCCACAACAGCAACAACATTTACTCACTTTCATTTATTAGGATATTAAATTACATCACTTAGCATCCTCCATAATTTACCTTGACTTTCATAGTTAGTCCGAACTATATTGATATGTGCTCTTAAATTTAAAAATTTTGAAAACCTAATGATATTTTTACTTTTGTTTATAAATGCTAAATAAGATCCTTACATTTGCCTTGATAAAGTACATCAGAAGCCAAAATATGTTTGTAAAGAAGTTTTCCTTTTGTCTTTATTTATATACAGTAAAAGTTCTTAAATCTAAACTTCAGAGTAGTTCAGATATGAGGATGGATGTGGCATGTGTAATATAACAATAACTTAAAACACAAGAACTTATCACAATATATAAAAAATTAAGTGTCTTGCAAAAGTAAATATCAATGTTTAATGCTCAATTAAGTTTTATTTTCAATTGTCTTTCTTATATCTTTTCTCATTTCACTTAATTTTTGCCATTCTAGTTTGTTTTTTTAAAGTAAATCATTTCTGCAAATGACATGCACTTGTATATCCTGTACTACTGATTTTTTTTTCTCCATGAATTTGATGACCTCATCAATAAGTTTCTCTACAGAGTCCCAGTCTTCTTCATCCTTCATATTTTCAGCAATATTCCTTGATTTCTTGACAATCCAAATCATTTTAAAGTGATTCTATCATTGAATTCTTTTGTAATACATTAGCGTCTTCATTTATCCATTCTTTTAAGTCATCCTGAAGTGCGAGTATTCAGTGGATCATCTTCAAGAACAAATTCTAGTGCTTTGTTCAGATTCTGAAATCCTTGTTTGTTAATTTTCAAATCCAGTGAGTTAGGAGCTTTGTCCAGTTTTTCAATAATCTCTAATTTCTGATGTATCGTGAAAGAATTTCTTTTCGCTTTTTCTTCCAGTTGAAGTTTTTTCTGTGTGAGCCATTATGGGTAGAGAAATTTCAAGTTACTAACAATTACCTACAAAGAAAAGAAAAATATTAGAATGTAGCATATTTCTATATCTAAATGGCAACACTTGAGCAATTAGGATATGAGGATGTCTAGTGTGTGTGTGTGTGTGTATATATATATATATATATATATATATGATAAAAATATAGTTTTAAGGTATGTTATATTTACGACTTAAAATGCTTGATATCAGGGATAGAGCCTATGTAAATATAAAATTGGGCGTTGAGGTCAACACCCAACAGTGACAGTCTGTTTCATGCTTAAATGCAATGGCCTGATGATCACATTTAAGCATGAAACAGACTATTGCTGCTGAGTGTTGACTTATATATAATGGACTCTCCCATCGGTTTCACCATAGAAGGATCTGACAACTTAATCAATTGATTCAGTTATGAATTTTCTGCGATAATCTTCTTAAGACCCGCTACTGATTTGCATATGGGGCAAGAGTTAGTGTGAGATGAGGTCACTGTTGGATTGGTTGGCCTTTTAGATCTTGCTCTTGCATCTTGAAGACGATTCAGACTAGCAGATTGAAAACTACTGTCCACTAAAACATGTTGATCTCCACTCTACCTGCTCCAAGGATGTTATGTGGTATATTGACAGCTGACAAGTTGCTCTTCAGCTTGTCTTTGTATCTAAGCCATGGATGTCCTACATTCCTGTAGCCCTGATCTAACTGGCTGCACATTAGGATCTTGGGTATCCTGTCATTAGACATTCTCTCTCCCTCATATATATATATATATATATATATATATATATATATATATATATATATATATATATATATATATATGATTGTTTTGCCAAAAATGTAAGCAATAAATAAATAAAAGAAATAGTTTTTGTCCAATAATATAAACCTTGTCATTACATCAAACCAATTGTTATTTTCAATGCTACAATATAAATATAGCAATAATCCTTAGTAAGTGTTTGCAGAAGTCAATTGTATCTAGTATCCAATAAATATTCAATATATTTATTAAGATTTTCTTTACATACAATTCTATCCATAATAGAAAAAAACTGATTATATAAAGATTTTGTGGAACCAACTTCCAAGAAGATGCTTCCATGATCGCTACAATCTTAACCTGTTCAACTCTAGAATTAACTGTTATTTTCCCCACATATCCACATAAACTATGCCTCTGATTCTGTGTCCCTCTACCTTGAGTGGCTCTTGGGCTTTGTGCAGGGTGAACATCATTAAAACAACAAAAAATTTAGATTAGATTACATCATGCAACAATCTTCCTCTGATTATTTGATAACACTTGAATTTATGAAAAAAAAATGCTGTATCCATTTAATGTGTAAAGACTGGTTGCTTGTTCCATCTACTTATGCTGACCCTGCTTATCTCCCATTTACGTGTAGGTTTGCCACAGGATGGGAGAGGACACCCCAATTTATTTTAAGGAGAGTGTTAGCAAGTACCAGATTCCTCTTGACCATCTGGATTTTGGTTACATCAAGAAGTGTAATGATGTGAAGGAATTGGAAAAGATTTACAAACTTTTAATGTATGTACTGCTTTTCAACCAATTCTTCTCTCTCATTTTCTTTCCTTTGTCATTTTTTTCTTATATCTTCTCCATGTAGACTGGATATTTAATGTCACTCTTTTATTGTTTTTTTTTTTTTAATAATTACTTATAAATATCTTTGTTTACTAATAAACAAACATACAATGTTTTTTAATATTTTATTCAGTTTTTTTCTCAGTGATTTGTTATTTTTCCCTTTAGATGAGTTTAAATTATTTTAATTCAAAATAATGTACTGAAAAATATTAAAGTAATTCAATTTTATTGCCTTTTTCAAATTGAATAGTGTCCTGGGTATGACAATAAACTACATCCAGCAGCAAGACCTGATTGGGAGGTTTTGAGGAGTGTGGAACTAGCTCTTAATTGCTGTTGTTCCCAAGTCCACCTTGAATTGTGGTTGTAGCACCTGTTCGGGTCCCAACTATGGGCAAATAGCTACCCACTCAAACTGAGGTCAAAACACTATGAAAGTATTAAAATACCAGCCACACATTTTCATAGTAAAAAATTACCAGCACTACATTTGTATAAAAAAATATTACCAGCAGTATATTTTTGTAAACGAAATTACTAATGCTCCTTCTTTGGTTTAATTAACTCCTACTAAGCTAGGATGTTGAAACTATTTAACCCATTAGTGTATGGCATCCAGTAGAGAGGGAAATTACCTAAAATGTAAAAATCAGCCGACTCTAAGATTGCCATTAATGATCAAGGTGGATGAGGCAAAAAGAGCTAAAATTTCAAGGAAACTTCATACAGTAATGGGTTAATTTTGTTTTTATTATTGAATATATGATAAAACCTTTCAGGAAGAGAAAGTCACTCTGGCCTGAAGTGAGCTAATAAATTAGATTAAAAAAAGGCACAAAACTTTAAATTTTTAGGTAATTCTTTGAGACTTAGAGGATTGTCTTAAACTTTTGACCTATAGTGGAGACTGGATTTAATTGGTTTGTCTAAGTTAAACCAGCATTTGATTCTTACTGGTTTTCTTTTCATCATTCTCTTATGGTTTCTAATTAAAAATTTTAATTTTTTTTTTTTTTTTTTTTTTTTTTTTCACTGTTATCAATCTCTGTTCAATGAAACCTTTCTTCAAATACAGAGATTTTTTTTTCCATAATCTAGAAAACAGATGCCTCTAATGCTAATAAGTAGCCCAAGTCCCAGGATTTGACTGTTCCTATAATTCCACATGGAACTGACTGAATTGTGCAAAACGAAAACATCCTTCATTAAATCAACTGACTGACATTTAATCTAAAAGACTATTAATCATGTCATTCCCAGACTAGAGAGGCCAAAGGGGATTTGGGTGAATTCCAATTACATTAGGCCAAAAGTTTGGTCCACCTTCTAGATTTAATTAGTAAGTTTCATACCTTCTTTGGTTTACTTAAATCTGACTAAGCTAGAATACTTAACTATTGACTCATTAGTACATGATATCCAATTTTATAGAGAGAGGGTTACCTAAAATGTAAAAAAATGCCAGCCCTAAGATGACCATTAGCCAGCAAGGTAGATTAGACAAAAATGAATTAAAATTTCAAGAAAATTTTATACATTAATGGGATAATTTTATTATTATTAATATTATTGAATATTTGATAAAACCTTTCAGGAAGAGAAAGCCCCTCTGGCCGGAAGTGAGCTAGTAAATTAGTTTTAAGAAAGGTACAAAACCTTTAAATTTTAGGTAATTCTTCAAGGTCTAGAGGATGGCCTCAAACTTTTGGCCTATAGTGTATGTTTTATGACCTGTATAAACAGGACCTGTTTTGCGAAAATAGTTTGAAGTTTACGCCAGTTTCAAACAATCTTCATCAGAGTAACATGAATCCAGTAATAATTGAAGCATCAAAATTATCGTAAGGATATTATTTCTGCTTTGAGAAATTCTTTTTTTTATTATTACCATTTCACCCCAAGCAAGACAATAATAGTACTAAGATGCAACGGGTTAATGGGAGTGAAAGAGAATAAGAAGACTTTAGTGAGGAGAAAGGAGAATAAAAGAACAGGTTTCAGGAAGACAGAAGATGACAATTTTTTAAGAACATAGGTAGCAGTGAAGCTAAAAAATGGAATAGTGTTCCACAAACAAGAAGTGTGAGAAAAGAAGCTATTAGAAACTAGTAGCATGCTTAAATTTATGCAATTGGGGTACTCTGTACAATGCCCAGGAGCCACTCGAGATAGAGGGTTACAGAATAAGAAGCATAGTTTATGCACATATGTGGAAAAGATAACAGTTAATCTTAGACTTTAACAAATTAAGATTGTAATGATCAGGGAAGCATTGTCTTGGGAGTCAGCACCACAGAGCAGTATGTTCGTGAAAAGAATCTGCTCAAGTTACATCTCACCAATGGAATACAAAGAGAATGATGGTAGTGTATTATGGTATGAATGTAGGGACTGGTAGAACTAAGGAATGTTGTTCATCTGAACACTTTTCATAGAAATAACAATAGAGCAGCAAAAGGCTGGGAGAATGGAGTTGTAGAGTGGAAAATAATTTCTTACGTACAAGGATGTGCAGATTCTTTTGGACTCTATTGAAACTTTAAAAGTGAAGACTGGCCAACTTATGCCCATATATGGCAGCAGTACATTTTTGGCCTTGTTCAGGTAGATGATAGCAGAAGGAGTCTGGTACTTGCTTGAGCAGTACAGGGGACCAACCATTTTTCCAATATCTTTAGTGATGGATCATATATACAAGTTTCAATTGAGATCCTTGAGTTTAAGTCCCAATAGGTACTCAAGGCATGGAACCTCTGAGGGAACACTCATTCATTACAACTGACGATAGTTTTGGGTCTGATCAATGATGATGGCATGTCTCTTAGTTTGGTTTTCAAGGCATTGAATGTGACCAGCCAGTTTTTTTCCTACTGAGCTGTTAGAGCTAGGCAGAGGAGAGATCAGCTGTCATGCTCTGGTCATCTTGAGTTTCGGAGATGCACCTATATACCATTGTATCATCAGCATAGATATTCACAAATGATCAGAATATACTCTTGGACTGAGAAGTGAACTTTGGGGAGACACCTGCATTGATCACTAGGGTGTTGGAGGACTGGCTGTTAACAACTACTTTCAGGGACCTACTCATTTGGAAGACTCCTCCAGTGATTCCATTACTAGAGAGCTTGTGCAGTAATCCTTTATGCCACACCTTGTCAAAGGCCTTTGAAATATCTAATACGATTGTCCTTGAGATATTTGTTGTCTCGTGCCTCACTGATTCTGTGAATAATGGTAGTTAATCCATCAGCAGTGGATTGGGCCAATTGAAACCCATACTGCTTGTTGCTTAAGAGCTTGTTCCTATTGAGGTGATCAACAAGCTTTTTGTTCATTATAGCTTCAAAAAGTTTGCTAATGGCACTGAGGAGACTAATAGGTCTATATTGAGAGGAGGATGAGTGCTCACCCGCATTCTTGAAAACCTGGCATACACTTGAGAGCTTTCACAGATTTGGGAAGGATTTCTTCTTCAAGCAGCAGTTAAATAATTATGCTATGATTGGAGATAACTTCATTGCCCAACTTAATGTTTCTTTTTGTGATTTTTACTTAATGGTAGTAGTTTGGTTACTGTCCTGTCTTTAGTCAATTCTACTTCTTTACTCTTTATTTACATTCACAACACTGGCTTCTTCAAATATGTTCTTGCTGGTTAATCCACTTGTCTTATTACCATTTTAAAATCTCTCTTTGTGACATTCTTAAAGCCATTTTTCTGTCTTCATCTTCCTAATATTTTCAATTTCTCTTGATTGTTCAATGATCTTTGTTCAACTTTTTTGCACTTTGTATCACTTTGTAAAGCTTACGGCCATATCACTTTGAGTTCCAGGTTCTCATGCAATCATCAAAATTAAGCAATGTCAAGCCTAGTCAGTACCTAGATGGGTAACTATTTGGGAATACTAGGTGCTATAAGCTTGATTGTGCAGATGGATAACGGCTCAAAATTATAAATCCGAGTTCCAATTCCAGTCAGGTTCATTATATTCATTTATCCAAAAATACTCTTGGGAATGGTATGAATCCATCTCTTCTCTCCCTAGCTATGGGTTAATCAGTAGGAGTTGTATGAATCCATCTCTTCTCTCCCTAGCTATGGGTTAATTAGTAGGACTTGTATCAGTAAATTATTACTATCTCCAAAAAAATTCTTACAATCTAAAAATATTTTCTGGCTTTAAATAACCTGCAAATGGTTGATAAGCAGAAAAAACAGTAAAATCAATATCACTTAATAACTTTACAATATCTTGTTTCTCTTTTGAGGTTATATCTTTCTTATGACCCATGGCAATCTTAATATATCTGGCCTAGTCAGAGTCCTGATCGTAGCCCAATTGAAAACTTTTGGGCAATAATGGACAAGCATGCACATAATAGAAAGGTTAACACAGAAGATGAGCTTTTTTGTGAATTAAAGAAATGCTGGAAAAATCTGAAGGATGTTAACTTAGTAAAGAATTTAGTCTATAGCATGCCATGAAGAATTAAGGCCATTATTAAAGCAAAAGGTTATCCAACAAAATACTAAATCATTTTTTGACTTGTATAATGTACATATGTACACCTGTATTAATAAATTAATTCTATTACTCACTTGTCTTGGTAAGAATACAAAAATCAACTTTCTATGGGTGCATCCATTTTTTTGCCTGATACTGTCTGTGTATATATATGTAGTTCTATATATAGTTCTGACTGCTTGGTGATCTGTAGCTTGAAACTCAAGTAGTGGTCTGAATGCTGTTCATTTTTGAATAGTGTTGCTGGGCAGTGTATTTGCTCTGTCTTGCTCATTTACACATAGAGCACTCTCCTTTACTATTTAGGTAGGTGTCTGTCTTTGTTTATGTTCCCTTTTCCTTTTTTTTTTAAATCTTGTTCTTTAGGCTTATTTTCTTTAGTCACTTGGTAGGCTTTGTGTTGCTTTT